TTTGTCATATATTTAATATGTGTGGTTTTGTTATATATTTTTATATTACCTTTAGGTGGTACTGTGCCACATACTGCACCTACATCATCATAACAGTAGTTAGCAGAGGCAACTGCCAAAAGAACAGACAATATCCCAAAGAATAACATGTTTTCTGCAATTGTAAGTAATAAGTAAACTGATATGAGTGTAGAATATTTATGTAATTACATACATTGATTATTTATATTAACAATAAATTATTTAAATAACACGTATACAGAACTAATTATATTATTATCGAAAGTTACCTAAAATTATTAAATACTATTTCCATTTTTAAAATGAATTCATTACTGAAAATTAATAATAATAATTATAATAACTCCAAATATGTTTTAACATATATTATATAGATGTGAACAATACCTATGTTATAAAATGTTAATATGCGAAGTCGATAACAGTGCAAATAAAGTATAAAAGCAATGTACAATAGTCCAATTAGGAGTATAAGTTCAAACTGATATGACTTATGATCAAAAGTAAACGTTGTAGATTCGAATATTATCTATAAACGTCATGCGCCTGTATATTATGAAAAATGTGTATTATCTATAGATATCCGATACTGCACAGTAGGATTTTCGTCATTGCATTGAAATACGCAGTAGCTATCTTTCGTACCGAATAAAGACAATTAAAACGGAACAAAGTATCTACTTCACAATGGTATTAATTTTATCTCCTACTTATATGTTAAATACGGGCAAATATATCGTAATAATGCGCTTAATTACCCACACTTAATTACCCAAACTTAAATTACCCACTTACATACCTGCACGAGCGATGTGCTCTTTCAAAGGGAAGTAACGTGAATACTCTCGCTTCGACGTTCTTCCAACAATGAACATGGGCAACCGCGTTTGTTGGTCATTTCCACACAGTCATACTCAGATGATAAGTAAAGCGCATGCGTAACAGAAAGGGAATAGAAAATTCCAGTTACTCCTCGTCGATTAAAGTACGAATAGTACGCTTTTGTTGGCCAATTATTCAACGATCGATGGCCGTAGGTTGTGTTTAGTTCACGCACATTTTCTTATCTAGCTTCACTAAACGCAGCCTTCTATACCAGTGCGTATAAAGGTTGCTTCCAGAACAGGCAAATAATAAGTTGTCTCGTGATTTCTTAAATTATAGCTTCTGAAACTAATCAAAGATGAAGCTGTTATACTTCTTTCTTGCCACTTTCCTTTTCATCAGTGGGTCGCTAGAAAATGAATATTCATTGGCAGGAAAATGTAAGTACATAATTTGTTTTACAGCATTTAAAATACTCTCTTTTGACATTTTTGTATGAAAACATCGATTGAGGTTAACGTCGTATTCCGCAGCAAATTCCATTGTTTTCTTTCCTTTCCATTTCTAAGACCGATATTGTTATCTTTGAACTGTCTGTTTCGCATTTCTTGAAAATCTGCTAAACTTGTAGGTATGATTTATTTATTAATGTTAATATGTTTAAAAGTATATGAATACAATTAATTCATAGTATAAGGTAATAACTTAACGCATATATTCTTTACAAACAAGCTTTTCTTAGAACTAATTATGATATGTGTTACATTTCTTTTTTTAATACTTGTTTCATTAAACACAATATTGTGGCGTACTTCAAGTACTAATATTAGAATTAAAAATCAGATGACCTCAGTAGCAAGTACATAGTGTCATATAATTGTAAACATTATGAGTTTCGTCCATATTGTTTTAATGTGGTAATATATTAACATTCATGTAGTTATTTGTATAATTATAACACCAATTTTTTATGTATTTTTATAAAAATATAATATTAATTTGTAACAAATTCATGTCTATATTTTTAAGTTATCAGGAAGAATGAGTTTGCATATTATTTCCTTTTTAACTTTCGATTGCCTCAGTGACAGTAAATACTTTGGACTTATTAGTCACAATATGATTTCATAGTTGTCGTCATTTATTGCGTTTATAGAAGCTATCAGAAATCAGTAGATATTTCACAAATAACTTAATTTATGATGTAATCCTTATAATGATGTTATTTTTTATTTCCATTGTTCATTATATTGCCTATCTTTTTGCATCTTCTCTTGTTACATATTTCCTTATCTATAAAATTTTATATTAGCATGATATGATTATCATTTTTAATATTCTTTTGACCCAATTGAAAATTATCGCTTTATGTGCATGGATGAAGATAAATCTTCAGTATAACACTATTGAAAATTTATCATTATAATTATACGAGTATGAAGCAAAACTTCTATTTTATTTTATATAACATTTTTTGTTAATTTATAATTAAAATATTTAAAAAATATTTGTTAGTATTAAAAGAATAAATTTCAATCTTCAGAACAATCTAAGAAGTATTTTACATGGACTTTCATTGTCCAAAACTGTTAATTAATGGACATTATTGACAATCTTGTTTGTACAATGATAAAATTTGATAAGCTTTACGTGACAATGTAAACGTATTGATTACTGCATGTTCTAAAGTCCACATTCAATATGTGTGTATTACAGATTGTTCTGAGAAGTCAGATAATTTAATCAAAACTACTTTATATGAATTCCTATTTTATTGTTGCGGAACAGAGTTTTATTTCAAATGGTTTTATTTTAGTTACTTATGTAATATTTATCTAAATGATACTCTTTATTGATATTAGTTTCCTTTTTCCATTATTATTATTATTGTTATATTCCATATATTTGTTGCATATATTTTGAGACAATATTACAACAAAGAATACAGTTTAGATATTATTAAAATACATTTTGTGCGTTTATATGTTGAATCAGAAGAAACTAGAAATAACACAAAAACTGAAATAATAAAACAAAGTAATCATAATTAAAATAATCTATAACTATACATGTTTTTGTAATTATGAATGATATGGGAATATAATCTTATCTTTACTGAAAAACCTTATTAAGATTGATAAATTGTGATACTTCTTC